AACAGAGCTTCAAAGGTTCATGGGATACAGATTTCCTGAAGCCATAAACGTTGAATGAACCCCTGAAACTATTGCCCTGAGATCATCCTTAAACCTCAAACCAAAAATGTCGCCTGACATTTTCTTAAAGCCAAACAATAGGTTAGTCAAACTAGTCAAAAATGGTATTCTCAATCACCTCGTATGCATGTGAATGTTGGGCCATGAATACGGAAGATTGTAGGAGAACGGATGTTTGAATGATGGTGCTGGTGAAGAATATTAAAGTAGCGTGGACTGCCAGAACAGACAAATCTGTCTTGGAAAGAGCACAGTCAGAAAGCCCCTTAAAAGTAAACATGGAGAGAAAAAGTCTCATGTCCTTTGAGCACCATGCTTGGTAAACCGGACGATCAGCACAGAAGAGAAAAAACCCCTCAAAGAGGTGGATTGACCACTGGCTGCTGTCTCAGACATAACACATATATACGGTGTGCTTCTTTAACCAGAGCCCTGGTAGTGTAGTGCTTGTGTCTTGGGCTGAGGATATGCAAGGTCGGCAGTTCAAAACCACCAGCAGCTCTGAGGTAGAAAGGCTTCAGCTTTCTACTCCTATAAACAGTTGCAGTCTTGGAAGCTCACAGGGGGTCACTTTAAATCAGCATTCACTCAATGGCCATGAACTTTGTGGTTTTTGGAGTTATGTTTCTTTAAACAAAATTTTTTTTTAAATCTCTCCAGATTCTTTATCCCTCAAACATAAATAGTGGCTTGAGTGGCTTTGTTTTAAAAAAATTTTTTAAAGAGGAAAAGTACAATTGAAATGGACTTGAAGTCCTTAGTGACGAACAAGTTCATCGCAAACAAACAAAACCATTGTGAGGATGGCGCAGGCCCACACGGTGATTCCTTCTCTTGTCCACAGAGTGAGTCACCAGGGACTGGAGGCAAGTCGCTGGCAACTCACCACAGTCAGCAGTGTCTGCCGTGAGCCTTATGTTCCTGTGGACTCAAATGGCAAAGAGCAGTTCAAAGATTAGATCGAAACTGTCGGTGCAGTGCATTTATGTGGGAGAAACGACTCAGAAACCAAGGATGGGAAAGGCTTCCCAAGTCAAAGAAGGTTCAGTGTCATTCAGTGGTACATGTAGAAACTGGGACTCGGTGCACGGTTTGTTGGGTTCTCAACAACAACAAGACAGCTATATGTTTAAGATACGACCAACGTTGGCGCCTGGCTGCTCTGCTCTGACACGCACAGGGGACAGTGAGCTGGAGGCATCCCTACAACAGTCGCCGAAGATAACAACCACCGTGGGGGAGCTAGACCTTATCCAAAGTGCATTCTCAATATGATTTGATTTCTTATCTCTCTACAAATCTTTGAAAGCAATAGTATCTTGCTTCTATTTTACAGATAAGAAAAAGGAAGCTCATGAAAAAGAAACAATTTGTTCAAGGTCATAGAGTTAGAAATTGGAGGAACCTGGATTTATGCCTAGAGAAAACAGCCTCTCACTTATTAACACAGAGGGACTCGTGAGGAGGCAGCAAGGCTACATGATCAAGCCATTAGTCATCCCGAGGTCTGGTTGACCAGTGGTGACACACTCTGTCCAGCACATTTTCCAGGCTAAAGCCATCCCTTTAAGTACCTCTTCGATTCTCCCAAATAGTCAAGTATTAACTCTTGATTATTGAGTTCCACTCTGGAACTCATCTCCAACGCCCAGAGAGAGATGGTCTGTAGGCATCTGTTATCTAGATTTATAAAGTGACCTTAATAAATTAAAAAAAATAAAAAGCCCCAGACTCTTATCCAGTAACTCTTATTCCTGGTCCTGGCTGTGCCACCAATTCACTGTGTGTCCTTGAATCAACCTTTACCCTTCTTGGTCATGAATGCTCATCTTCAGAAAGAGAACGAACTGGACCCGATACAACCAGACCCAAGGATCCAACGCCAGTATGTCTAAGAGGCCCGAGCACATGGCTTGAGGCAGTAGAAAGAATGGCTGCAGGTCACTCACTGCCTGCACCGTGGAGGAGCGCAGAGAGGACTTTAGTGTGGAGAATTGGTACCTACTCCAAGAAGTGACCAGTGACCCAGATTGTTAGGGTCCGAAATGTCTTGTTAAATATTGACCACCATGTCCAACAAGGCCCATCTTGTGAGCAGGTTTGGCCCAGGTCCTCCTACGATTCTTCACGGTTGTGTTCGCATGTGTAGAGCTGAGATCCAGAAAGAGGGGAGCAGTTTAGGGCAGACGCAAGGAACGTGGACAGGTAATTAATTAACTCGCCATGGAGAGAACTCGGGCTTCTGGCCTCCCTGCACCGCTAAGATAAGGTGACCAGACATCCTGCCTTTGGCAGAGCAGTCCCGATTTTTAACAATTTGTCCTGCATCCCACGGCGTTTTAAAAAAGTCCTGATTTTTGGAAAGAATGCACGACAAGCTAGGGAACGGCGGGAGAACGGGAAGGGAATATATGCTTTTTGGCTGCCATGTGGCTATTTCGCCAGGATATGAGTTTTATATTGTTTTTGTTAATTTTATAATGTTTAACTTTAATAATAACAAATAATTGTTAAGAACTGATTATCGAGAACTGCTTATCAAAGTTCGCATTGTTGATCAGTTGTTAGAATTCGACCACCATTGTTTGGACTTAATGAACAATGGCATTTTTTGGCATTGGCCACGACGAAAACATTTTGTAACTGTCTCTCAGACGATACATATCGGACTGTGTGCTAGTGCTAGTTAAACAAGTGATGTCAACAAATCAGCTATTCAGATAATTTAGGTAAGTAATTTATTTATTTATTTCATAAATACATCAGTTTCTTGAATTTATCAGACAGTACTGGAATGAAGTGCAAAAATCATTCGATCATAGTACTCAAAATTTCCCATATTGTAATATTTGCGAAAATGATCTTTCTAATGCGGTATCATTATTAAAAACATATATTGATAAGGAAAAGGTTAAATCTTGGGCATCAGCAAAAAGCACAATAGAGAACAAATGGTTAGAAATATTTCATCATTTTGAAACAAACCATGTTCCATACAATAATGCACTGAAAATTGTGGAATATGCGCTGTCCTTACCAGGAACTAATACTGCGACTGAATGCGTTTTTTCTACGGCAAATAAAGTGTGGACATCAGAAAATTCACAATTAAGTGTTGAGACTTTGAAAGCCATTTTATGTGTGAAATATAATTTAACAAATTCTTGTGAAAAAATGTCATGACCTTTTAAACAACGACAGCAATCTACTAAAAAAATTCACTCAAATGAGAAATATGCCAAAGAATAAAATACTATACATAACTTTTAATGTATTATATTTGTAAATTGCACTTATGTTGAAATGAAAAAATATATATTGCAATACTATTTTTGTGTTCTATGAAAATTTTTGTTGCAATAGACCAAATTTTTAATCAAGAACCTACCCCCCTCGGTCAATGGTGTCCCGCTTTACCAATGTTAAAATCTGGTCACCTTACACTAAGACCACATGGCCGAGACCTCTTGCGTTCCAAGACAGAACACAATCACACAAAAAATTAGAAGCCGAAGTGGAAGACTGCCAACGCCAAGGGGAATGCAAAGTGCTTCAAAGGCCAAAAACTCGCTGCCGTCCAGGCAATGCTGGCTCGTAGGACCCCAGAGGACACAGTAGAACTGCCTCCTTTGGGCTTCTGAAGACCTGAAGTGTTTATAGGAACAGACAGTCTCATCTCGTGCCCACAGAGAAAGTTCCAGCTGCTGAGCTCGTGGTGATCGGCTCAATGCGCAGCTCACTACACTCCCAGGGTTCCTTCCGGCAGAGTGTTGAAGGCAGCCTCTTTCCAAGAACAGGCTAGAGACTGAAATCAGCCATCCAGTTTAGCCACGCAAGGTCAAGTGATGCAGCGACAGTAAGCTCCGCTGTAGGAAAGGGGTGAGCACTCAGATACAAGGGGCTCGGTATAACAGAGAGGTTCTCAAACTTGGGGGAGCATGAGGATGACTGGAAGGCTTCTGAAAACACAGAGAGCGGTGGTGGGGTGGTGGTGGCAGGCCCCAGAGATTCTGATTCAGTCCATCTGGGGTGGGACCCAAGAATTTGCATTTCTAACAAGTAAGCTGCAACATGAACCAAGCTTCTTTTTAACACGAGGGGTGGTCTTTTCAATCGCCTCCTCGGCATGTGAAAGCTGGATATTGAATAAGGGAGACCGAAGAAGAACAGATGCCATTTGAATTATGATGCTGCGAGTACCAAAGAACTGCCAAAAGAACGAACAAGTCCGCCTTGGAAGAAGTACAGGCAGAGTGCTCCTGAGAGGCATGGATGGTGAGACTTCTCCCTTTCTTTGGACATGCTGTCAGGAGAGTCCAGCCCCTGGAGAAGGACATCATGTTTGGGAAAGTAGCAGAGTAGAGAAAAGGAGGAACATCTTGGACCACCTGGAGTGACCCAGTGGTTGACCGATAGGCTCAAATATAAGAACATTTGTGAGGATGGCATAGGTCCACTCTGAGTGGGAACCAACTCCGCAGGACCTGAAAGCAACAACCAGGTCCCAGGAAATGCTGACGGGGCTGGCCCACGAAACATACTGGAAACCAGAAGGAGCCCCGAGCGGCAGTATGACTGCTCTGTTTACACGTCAAGGAGGGCTGGCTATTCGCCAAAAGGTCAGCCCGCTAACCTGGCAGTCTGCTTCTGTAAAGATTCACAACCTCGGAAGCCATTGGCATCTCTCTTGCCCACTGGAGTCAACTCAACCACAATGAATTATGGCTAACATCAGGCTCCGTCGCTTAACTAACGATGCAACCCTGGGAAAATGATTCCATCTTTCTTTGTCTCCATTTCCTCCTCCATCACCTGAGACAGTCCTCAGAGGACTGTGGGGAGAAGCCAATGAGATGGTCCCTGTGAAGCGCTCTGGCCTGCCCTGGGCAGACAGTAGTGGCTCCGTGACTATTACCTAGTTTTCCTGTCTGTAAAAGTACCTTCGTGTGCCTATCAGGGCCCACAGCGTACAGCTGCAGGACCCCAAAGTTGCAGAAGAGCTCCATGACTATCCCTAGGCGTTGGGGACAAGAGGAGCAGGTTACCGGAACCCAGAGGTTGCAGGTGCTTTGTGAGAAGGACCCTGTGGAAGCACTAGTTGAGGGGGAAAGCCTGTCGATGGTGACCTCCCAGGAAGGAAGATAGCAGAGTAAATACTCAGCCCTCAAGCCTGTCTCTGATTGTCTGCTACTGCTGGCCACTGGTCCAATGCTAAGCTTGGAAGGAGGTGACAAAGTGAGCCTGCTGATCAAGTTCACATTGTTCCACTTTCCAAGGCACAGAGCAGGGTGCAGAGGGATTGGAGGGAGAAATGCAGGATAGAGATAGGACGCCAGTATACTTAGAAGAGGCCCTATAGATGTCATCCGGCCTACACCTTAACCTTGAGGCAGAATGATCATCAATGGATTCAGAAAGGCTCCGAGCACTTGGGAGAGCAACCTCGCTCCAAACCCCATCCTTCAAGCACATCCCAAACTGTCCCTCACAGTGCTAGCAGGTGAGCCAGGAGTCTTGGTGCCAGACCCAGCCAGGGCACTGACCCTGAGCCAACCAGACGCCAGCTCAGAGCAATCGAACTTTTTGGCTTTTCGTAAGCAATGAGAGACCATCTTGCTTGAAGCAGAGAAGGCCAGGGGAATCTACCTGAGAATGGAAAATAGACACAGTGAACAACAAGGATTTATAAATTATCAGGGGTTCAGGAGGGAGAGTGGGTGGGAAAGGGAGAGGGAAAAATGAGGAGCTGATACCAAGGGCTC